TCCCGGTTTCCTCCTCCACCATTAATACTGGCCGCCATAAATAGCCTATCGTGTGCTGAAAAATGGCGTTAAGCCCAACAACAGCAACATTATTATTATTATTATTATTATTATCATTATTATTATCATCATCACCATTATTATTATTATTAATATCATCATCACCATTATTATTGTCATCACCATTATTATTATTATTATTATTATTATTATTATTATTATTATTATTATTATTAATATTATTATCACCATTATTATTATTATTAGTAGTAGTAGTAGTTGTAGTAGTAGTAGTAGTAGTAGTAGTAGTAGTAGTAGTATTAATATTATTATTATTATTGATGCTGTTCTAGTAGTTTAAAGATAGTCATCTTGCTTTTTCCTCTGTAGCATAAATACGTATATCATCAATTCTAATTATTAATACAGAATTTTTCATATTTCTTGTATTATGGTTTTGAAAAGTGCCATTTTTATCACTGATCATTGTGTGTGTGTGTGTGTGTGTGTGTAAGTGAGAGAGAGAGAGAGAGAGAGAGAGAGAGAGAGAGAGAGAGAGAGAGAGAGTTGATTTTTAACATAGCTTAAACAGTTTTCACTCATATCTCTAAGATGTCTAGTACTGGAGGATCATGTCACAGACGTGTAGCATCATGTCCCACCCCGTCACATTATCCTTACACCAGGCCGATCACTCCTTCCACTAATTCATTAATTCTTAGCTAATAGCGAGGCAGCTGTAAGTAATATAGGTCACTGTCCCGTAATACATATCCATATATCATGCGGTACAAAAAGATGTTATAGTGCGTTACAAAAGAACATCGTATTTATAAGAAATAATATATGTAAAAGTAATAATCACTGCTTTTCTCGTATATAGGTGAGATACAAGTATATATTGTACAGTAATGAAACAAGCGGACTTAAGTGTAACCCTACAAGTTCGTAAGGAGCAAGATTTGTGATATTGATCTAAAGTCTTATGTAGAGAATTGGTTGATAAAACGGTTTTTTCCAATCTTTAAGGTTCTTACAGTAAACAATACTAAATTGGTCATCAGAATTTTACTTGTATCATTGTGTATAAAGGACCTAAATTCTTATAAAATTGGATTTCTATATACAAAGGTGGGTACGTATTTTCTTTGTATTTCTCCATATAGCCGACAAGCAGGAATACAAAGGAATTCATTTTTGATGTTACCGTTACAAATTTTACACAAGCTTTCCTCATAGCAGATACTTTCATATCTTCCGGTATTACCTCTGATTGCCAAGTTCCCCACTCTTAGCATAGTGATTATATAACAAAGAATGTCATCTCCCAAGAATTCTATATATTTTGGACAAGATAATTCTACTCCCAATGACCTATAGAAGCGCAGTCTTTCCAGCGACTTAATCTCATCATGCTGCTTTTGTCTAAGAATATCTTCATATATTTGGCTGAACAATCTAAGAAATATATGTTAATCATTTACATCCTGATTATACCAAACATTGCCAAATTCAAATGTAAATAGAAGCTTTCTAACATAGCCTAGCAATCACAATCCCCCTCCCTTAACTGTAAATCGCACTATTGCTTAGGATATCTGTCTTCTTGCATTTTTAGAAATCTTCGCCAATATTTAAAAATACGTTTATATCTTATAAACTGCATACTAATTCTTACTAATTCGTTATATACGAATGCATTTGGAGTAGACTTATATGTATCAAGGATATACTTACAAAATGTCAAATGAGCTTTTTTAATATCATTGGCATCATAATAAGCCAAACCTCAGCCCCATAATTAAGAATGGGAGCTATCTTTCCGAAGCAATCAAGTTACGGGTAATCTGCCACACTTTGAAAGACTTTGTTTCGATATATGCTCAGCCTTCGGCGCCTGCATAGATCGAGTTTCCTGGCACATATACCAAAAGTTTTGTGAAGAAAATATACATCCTAACTACTTATAATATGATTCATTCTTTACCACTGTATTGCCATAGTAACACTTTTCGTAGCTTCCTAATAACCGCCTCTACGAAATGCAACCACTCTTGCTTTTTGCTGTTCATATTTACCTTTAATTTCCACTTTAGGCAATACATATGCAACCTATTGAGCAATGTCAGCAAAGACAATTACATCGTCTGCATACAACAGTGAAAAAAGTTCTTAGCTTTCTACTGACACTCCCCTGTTTCTTTCAGCTAAAACTGGTTTCAAATCATTCAAAAATAAAGAAAAGAGTGAAGGCTGTAAAACACAACCTTGGCGCACGCTCAATGAGCAATTAAACACATCGGTAACAAGACGCTTAGACTTAGCACACGCGTTTACATCAATATAAATTGCCTTAATGATTCTTAACATTTCCCCACTAATATTTTCACTAATTAGCTTTTGATACAGTAAATGTCTCTCCTATAAAAGGCTTTTTCATTGTCAATAAATACTGCATAGAATCTGCCCCTACGGTTTTGTTTTTAAATATTTACAAACTAATGTATATAATGTATATATTTTATCTGCTGTTGAACACCCTACTCTAAATCCTGCTTCTCTTCTCCCAGTAATTCGTTTTCCTCCAACCGTTCATTTAGTAGGCTATTTAAAATCAACGTAAACACTTTGCTTAATACAGGTAGTAAACTAATGTCTCTGTAATGGAAGGGTTCATTCATTTGCATCCCTTTTTCTTTAAAACTGCTATGATGCTAGCCGTTTAACAATATTCTGAATAATATATAATATCAAATAGTTTATTAAATAATATTAAAAAATATTGTTAATATTGGTACAATTATGTTGTACATATAAAGAAGTGACTAGATTAAGCATCTATTCCGCAAGCTTTATGTTTCTGTTTACTCAATGCTAGGCATACCTCTTCCTCAGTAATTGTTCTATCTAAAGTCTCGTGAATTACTTGAATGTTTCCAATTTTTCTGTATCTGGTCAAAAGAACTAGAAGAATTAAATAATAATGAAAAATATTCATGCCAAGTTGCAGACATGATACTGTTTTGCATACCAGTACATGGGTTCTTTACAAGGCGCCAGAAAAGTTGTGCATCTTTAGAGTATTATGCAGATAAAAGGCTATTTTTGTATCCGTTCATTTTTCATTTTTGCTTGCTTTTTTTTAAATACATATTTCTATAAAAATTGTAATTTTCAAGTGATTTACTTGTACGTTTTAATCAAAGCCGCTTTTAATATCTTAATGCTTTACTTTTGGCTTTTGTACAGTCTGTATCAATTCCGCTTGAAGATGTCAAAGCTAGAAGCTAGGATTTGCTTTCTGTTGATTGTTTTCATTGTGCTTGCTGCATCATGATAGATGTCAGCAATTCTTTCGACGCATACATTCAATTTGTTATTGTTTATATCATTTAAAATCGTGTCCATGTTTTGAGATAATAGATCCTTGCAATTTTGGATAAAATATAGACTTTCTTCTTTTTCCATATGTATTTATTCATTTCGTTACCACCAGAGACACTTACAGCCTCTTGCCCTAATTTACCCATGTAGACAAATGAAAATACAATTGTCATGTGTATTGATTCCAATTTATCATCTTTTTCAAAGGACGATTTTTTTTTAAACACCCGTCGGCTAACGCATAATCTATTGTTGAAGCCGAATGCCATGGAGACGTAAAGTTACCTATCCCTTTATCTGATCTACATCTACCAAAGGCGATTCTCAATCCAGTCATTTAGCATTGTTAAAGTTTTTCTCCGTAGTGATTTATCTCCCTTACGTTTTGATTAACCCGACCAGACCTAACTTCGTCTTTTGCATAACTAAGTCACTTCTCAATGTACTTTGTTGGAGTACTTCCCAGACCTTAAAAAAAGTTAGTGGACAGCAAAGTGGATTTTCCAGACAACCAAATCAAACACCAAGGAATCACCATCAAAATAGGTAAAAAAAAAAAAAAACAACCCAATATCCTTTTGTAATATTTATGACCCCACCCCACCCCACCCCGTCTATAATGCAAATACCATCAATAGTTTCCCACAAATCTTTAAAAACAATATTAAGAACAGTATCATTTGTAGAGATTTTAATGCACACAACACAGAATGGGGAGGACACTATCAGAGGTAAAAGAATTGAAAAATACGCCAAAGAAAACCCAACTAATAATCTTAAACACAGGAACACCAACCAGAATAGACCCCATCACCAAGAAATTTACAACTTTAGACCTTACCTTAGTCTCACCATCTATAGCACAGATCGAGGACTGGGAAGTACACCAACAAAGTACATTGAGAAGTGACCACATTCCCCTAAGTAGAAACATTTATCCATAAAACCCAAGAGGGCAACAACGGAACACCCAAAAATGGAAAACAGAAAATGCAAACTTGAATCTATTCCAAACAACCTTGAAGAAAGTGCATCCAGAAGATCTACGCAGCAATGATACCAACCAGTACTATTACAACATTATCTAAGTACTGAACGAAGTAGCACAGGAAGTTATACCCAAAACAAACCGAAATATAAATAAAAGCGACAAACCATGGAAAACAGACAACTGCTGAAACGCCATCACGGGAAAAAGAAGGCGATAAACGCCTTCAAACATACCAAACTAGCCGCTGACTTCATCATATATAAACAACAGGAAGCCTATGCGAGAGCAGTCATAAAAAAAGCCAAACAAGACTCATGGAAATCCTACTGCTTCTCGTTTACACATCGCACCAAGCCCAAAGAAGTCTGGGTAAAGTCAAAGCCTTAAAAAGATGTGTTTATTAACGTAGCTTTTAACAATTTTTCAGTCATATCGCTACAATATGTCTGCAATATGACAGTTTATAGTGATATCTAGCACTGGGGCATCATGCCGCAGACATGTAGCATGATGCCCCACCCAGTCACATTATCCTGACACCAGGCCGACCAGTCCTAACACTAACCTCTTAATGCTGAGCGTCAAGCAAGGCAGCTGTTAGTACAATTTTTGTAAGTCTTTCGTATGACTCGACCTGGGATCGAACCCACATTCTCCCGCATCCGAGGCGGACGCTCTAACCACTAGGCTACCGGAACGGTTCCATAAAAAGAAAAGTCCTGACTACAATATCTAAACTAGCTGGACCACAAACCAACCAAGCAAAGGCCAAACGACTCGCACAACATTTCGCCCATTCCAGCAGTAACAACAACCACACACATACATTTATGGGGCAGAGAAAGGAAATAGAGAAGGACTTCATCACATATTCCAAGACCAAACCACAAAACAGGTAAGTAAAGACTCACCTTTAAACGACTACTTCAAACTACAAGAATGGAGGATAGCCCTACACAACAACCTTTCCCCCTCCAACAGCAACAGGGAAGACAACCTTGGATCCGCCATCTATACACACACCTCAACAAATGTTCAACTTATCATAATCGACATGATCAACCTTAGAAGGAAAACAGGAAATATACCAACACCATAGAAAAACATGCAATAGTTATCGCAATACCAAAGCCAGGAAAAAACCCTAAAAAGGGTAGCCTCACATCGACTTATCTCTCCAACAAACACTATCTTCAAAATTATGAAAACTATGATCAACAAACAGAACAAAACACCATCTGAACTCAAAGCAATCGACTCCCTGAAAACCAAAGTGGATTTAGAAACCGCCGCTCTACCATTGACCAGCTAATAAGAATCGAAGCGGACATCAAAATTAGCCTTTAACGCAAGTCAAAGAAGTCACAGAGATGCTATCGCAATTTTCATTGACCTTGAAAAAGACTTTGATCTAGTTTGGACGAAAGGACTTATTTCCAAACTCAATATGGTATAAATGGAAGGATGCACCGTTGGATAGCAAATTTCCTAACAGGAAGGTAAATTGAAACTAGAATCGGCGACACAACATCCAACACCTGCACATCGGACAACGGAACACCACAAGGAAGTGTAATAATCCAGACACCTGCACATCGGACAACGGAACACCACAAGGAAATGTAATAATCCATCCTCTATTCAACATCATGGTTAGCAACCTTTGCGAATACATTGACAACTCTATCATTATGTCCCAGTGTGCAGACGATAACGGAATTTGGAAAACAGGAAATCTAAAGAACCAATCATACATGAAACTACTTCAAGCAAACTTCGACTCAATTTAAAAATGGGCAGACAACTGGGGCTTTAAAATTGCCAGTGATTAAATTGTTGTTGTTAAAACAGTGATTAAATTGTTGTGATTAAACAGTTTGAATGCTTTTATTGCACACACAAGAGACAGAAGCCCAATTACCAAATATTCTACTTACAATGAACACCTGTAAAATCTGTCACACAGACGTACTTCCTATGAATGCTTCTAGACGAAAACCTCAGTTAGAAACCACACATGGCGGAACTAACCAGAAAAGGACAGCAAGACATCAACCTACTAAACACCAAAAGGGAACAAAATTGGTAGCGGATCAACACACTTTACTCATGCAATATAAGGCAATAATTATAGCCAAACTGGATTACGGTTGCCAAATATATGCATCAGCAAACAAATCCCATCTCCAAACATTAGACGGAATACCATATAAAGCGCTCAAACTATGCACAGGAAAAGAAATCAATGACTTGGTTACAAAAGAAGGAAAATGGTACTAACATGTACTCAAATAAAAAAACGATACAAATTTCTTTAAATAAAAAAATTACTTTCAACGTTAATATACTATCTTCATAGCCAATGAGATGTGACCTTTGAGTGCAACAAGGAGAGACTTCATCACCTATTTTATGCGAACATCAAGACTTCCGTTCGTCCCTGCTCCGTCGATCTTTGTCTAGCTTTTTCGTCTTGGACTCTTGTCCGTCGAACTCTAACTTAACAATCGTCTCTGGACTTAGAGTTCTGCGTAGTATTTGTTCTGGTCCTGTGCTTGTTCAGGGATTTCTCATGTGAATCCATGAAAGCTGTTTCCTTCAATAAATAAAATGTCTCGCAATAGACAATAGGTCACATTCCCAGGTATATTTATATTTTTACATTAATTCGGCTCAGAAAACAAAAGGCATAAATTCTGCCGCGTGAACGTTACCTAACTCTCTGTTTACATAGTCAGTCAATGCTTGTCCTGACCTTATTTCGGGTCACGCTAGGGATGGTCAATTAAATTCAACTCAGCCGTATGAACCCGTATGTAACCCCCATTCGACTTCTTACTCTACCAATCTAGCAGTGTTAAGTTACATATGGCTTAGACCCTCAGATCTAACTATTCTAAAATAGTTTACTCGACCAATTAAATATTACAAACTAGCATATAGATACACACTTAAGTGATCAATTAAATATTACAAACTAGTATATGGTATACATGTAATGTTAGGTCATACTCATTCTAAACAGAGTTAATCCATAAACTATGAAACATTACCCATCATTCCTTAAGCTTAATTCATTTAAATTCCTAATCACTCCTATGTATTCAAGATTCAATTACATGCAATCTTTTCAACTAATCTAATGAAATTTTAATTACATTCAATCTTGCCAATTCTCCAAATGAATTGATAATTAGAAAATCAAAGAATAAAATGTCATGACTAGCATTTCACTAAAATCCTGCAAAATGAAATCATACATACATACATCATATCAAGAATACATTTGAAATAGATCAACAAATGAAATAACATATTAAAATCGGGAAACTAAGATTGCGTACCTTTTGCCGTTTCTTTATTGGTTTCCACGAACCTCACGTATAGTCGTCTCCTAACTGAGACAACTATCTGGCCCCTTACTCTATAATGAAAACGTACTTTTTACGAATTCAGAATGTAGAGTTTGCCTACTCGCTGAGACAAAACTCTCGCTTTACTGCCAAATCACGAGATAACGTCTTACACGCTCTTCCCGGAGTCTCGACCACTCTTTTTCCAAGTAAGATTGAAGATTAAAGAATTTTCCTAAAGTAAAACCTTTAATTTCTTAAAGAGTTACGCCCATAAATCCATATTAACCAATCGGAATAGACTGTTTCCTAAACCTGTAGAATTTTTGGATTGATAAGACAACTAAACAACTAATCATGCCGTAATTAACATTACTTTGAACAATCATCTATAGCCAGTTCCCGCCCTTTAATCCGTCGATTTTGGGAAAGGGTCTTATGTCATTCTCTTGTACCATAGCATCTGACTCGGTCATGTTACGTCGGCTAGAACGAATTCCCTTTTGACGTTCAGAGATGAAATGAAAATAATCATCTAACTGTCTCTAGCCCTTTCTACTTTAATTAAGTTGACTTTGATACACCTCCTTTAACCAAAGGTTCTAAGAGTTTTCAAAATTCGACACATCACAACTACCCCTGCACATAAGACGAGAAGAACATATCTTATGATATGCCATTTAATACTCCATACACTCGGACAACAATCCAACCAAAATAGCTTTTAGAAATTCTACGAGGCCGTTCAACAAACAACTAGTGCCCAATCACACATATAGAAAGAGAGTACACATAAGTCAAGAGGATATGTACATCACATAAATCCAGGCTAAACAACACAAAAATTGCGACCTCGCACCCTGGAAGAACAACAAGCACAAAATCAACATTTCAGCGCTGACACTGGCATATAAGCAACAAAACTCTTGGAAAATCCTTATTGATATACACAAAATCTTAGAGAAAAATTATACAGGATTTGCAAAAAAAACCTACACGGACGGATCAAAATCCAAGGAACTCAATAGAACAGCTGTATCCATTGTAGTACCTGAGCAACAAACCCAAATTGGCACCAGATTACAAGATGGATGTTCCATCTATACAGCGGAATTCTGGGCGATAAAAGAGACACTACAATGGATAAAATCACAAACACACAAAACCAAGTCTTCATAATGGACTCATTAAGCGTTCTGAAATCGATCGAATCCGGAACATAAAACAGCTGAGGACATATCTACTGGTAACAACGCTAATAGCACGTGAGCTTGAAGAAGACCAATACAATTTTTATGGGTGCCATCTCACATCAACTAATTTGGAAGTGGTATGGCAGACCTCTCAGTAAAACATAATCTAAACAACAAAAATGTCCACGTCATTGCTTACAGTGTCCAAGAATTATACAGCTAGGTTAGACAGCAAATAAATAAGAAATGGCTGTAATACTGGGATGCCATCACCAAAGGTAGACAACTGTATCAAAAGGAAGCAATCCGAAGCATCGAGGCACCTACAGAACTATGAACCACAAATCATCAACAGGATACGAACAGGAAAGGCACAGCTGAAAAGCATCTATGGAAATTACCTCGACCAGCAAAATGATACCATCAACTTTCCACATTGTCCAGTCTCAGAAACACTCGACCACGTCTTTAACACCTGCACCAGATACCAAATGCAAAGAAACAACCTCAGAGTATATCAGAAACGCGTCGGATCGACCAACAACGTACCCCGAATTACTCGACAGCACGAAGCATACAAACCTGGATACCACCTACAAAAGTATAGTGCTGTACTTGAAGGAAATCAGCAAGAACGGGAAAATATGAATACACGCGTCCTACAAAATACACACAAAACTGGACTATGGCACAGCTCCAGCCATACAAGTCCATAAAACATAACACACAAGCACACCAAATCACAACAAAACAATAAAAACAAGACAACTGGGACTAAAGCAACTTCTAGTCAAACGGCAAGTTCACAAGACCTTGGGCTAAAGCATTTGCTAACCAAATGGCAAGCACACAAAACATAAGACAATACCAAGTTAAGACCACTATACTCTTTATAAAACACAGAACAATACTAAGGTAAGAACACAACAACTTTCATTCATAGATTATTAACAAAATATGATCCTTCAAACTCCTTCCTACCTCTCTTTCCTCCCCTGCCCACCACCTAAAAAATTATTATTCTTATTCTTACACCTGCTTGGAAGCATAGTAGCCTTCAGGAAACATTTTTTTTTTAAAAAAAATTAAAACTATAATTCTTTTCCCCTTTCTCTCTTTAATTTCTAACCCAACCACACCCACCCCACGCAT